AACAACAGTATTTCTTAAGGGAGAAGCGTTCCAATCTAACCAAACAAGCCAAAAAAACATATCTCTGACTCAGAAGAGGGAGAAGCCCAAACCCAAATTCGTGATTGACAAAGTAAAAGGCTTAGCGAAAGTACCTGAGATTGTTGGTGAAGGGTCGCGAACTTGAGGGAGCTCAGTGACCTCCAATGGCTTAAGCCCAAGGAACGAGAAATCGACGACAGCGAACGCGAATGTCAACAACAGCCAAGGACAGGGCAGTGAACGCCAATGTCGACGGTAGCCACGGCAAGACAAGTCCAAATTGACGGAGCCCACAGTGCATGCGAAAGAGATGACGACCTTAGAGATATGATAGAACGAGAGAGGGGGAGAGATATGATCGAACGAGGGAGAGAGAGAGATGGTTTGAGCCAAGTGAGGTCTAGATAGGGAGAGGTCGAGAGAGATTGGAAATTTTCATTGAGAGCAACGAGAGGTAAACTTAGAAGAGCAAGTGCAAGTTGTGAAAATTTAGGTCACTTCAGTGAACAGTGTTTAGCGTGTTTTAAATCCACGTCGCTTTGTCTTGACAACCGACGTGGTTTTGAATATGTTTTCATAAACCACCGTATTAGATATCCTATGACGTCGCTTCTATAAATGCTAACATGATTTGTAGCCAATTTTAAAACAACGTTGCGAAATTCACTTTTCGACGTCTTTTAGGTGACATAGCTTTCAATTTTTGGCGTAGTGAATTTTCAAACCAAATGGCTTGATTGCTTCAGAGTCTGAAGGCTTTTGAGATCGATGGTGTTGTTTCAATTTTGTCTGTATGACTTGAGAGTTTTTGTTTTGATTTGAATTTTTGGCTGTCTTTAACCTTGTTCACCTCCTCTCGTATTTATAGAGGCTTTGAATGAGGGTTTATTCTTTAATATCTGGAGGGTAGATCTTTTGAAAAGGATTTTCCCTTTCCAACACAAAAGGGGGGAGTTATTAATCTGGCAAAAAGAACCATCAACAGTCCAATTTCTATGATGGTCCATTTGCTTTTTCTGGCGAACAACTCTCCTGTTTCCTGTTACCTTTTTTGAAAACAAAACCTGCTCTGATGCAGAGCCCTTATGAGTCTGCCCTTCTTTTCTGGCATTTTAAATGTTTATGGGGAGTGTTCTTCTGGTTAACCTATTTTTATTAACTCCCCATCACTTCCTCTGCCCAGTTGAAAACTTTGACTTTCAAAGTCATGTGGGCCTTTGAGAGAAAAGATCTTTCCAAAAATCTGCTGATTTAAACTCTGAAATTGAAATCAACGGTGATGATCCAATTTTCACGTTTCTTTGGAGAGATTAGAGGCTGGGCCTAATCCTAAAAATCAATTTTTAGAAACTGATTTGTCCGGATTAAATCACCATTTAATGGTGTTAAGGCCCAAAAATCCAAGGCTAGGCCCAGGCTTATTTCTAGCCCAGCACAATATTTAACTATGAGAGGAGCCCAATTGGGACATGCGAGAATTTGTCGGGCGCACCTGCACGAGTTGTGGGCCACGCGCCACGCCAAGCAAACAGACGAACCCGCCATGCAGAAGGGTCAAAATGAGCTCGTAAAACGTACCGGCTCTGTGAACTCACACTTACTGACCTGTTGAGTGCCATTTGGTCTGGTCATAGCCTATTACAGCGTAATTGAACTCGAGCATGAACATGCTAAATAAACACGCGATGCCAAGCAAAAACCACTATTCTAAGCCACGCTACAAGCTCAAGTGGGCCCAAGCCACGTGAATACCTGGGGCTTACTGAGAAGGTTGTGGTATGGATGGGTACGAGCACTCACGAGGCCCATTGAGGGATCAAGGGATGGAAGTTTTGGGCTACTTGGGAGCACCAAAACTCAAGCCCATTTTTTGGGCCCAAACACATGGGTAAGCAATAAAGAGAGAAAAAGGTGGCCCATTGCCTTAGGAGAATATGTAATGGTCTGCAACATTTAGGAAAGCCCCACATTAGCTAAGGCATCCAGCACCTCGTCAAAAAGTAGAGTAAATAAGCTACTTCTAGCAGCTTGACGAAACCATAGAAGACTTAGCTGACTGTTGGAAATACGATGCCAATGACCCAATGCCTTAGGAAAATCCCAGCCCAGTACCTAATGAAATATCTAGCATCGTGTTCAGCTAAGTCTAGAAGCAACACCATGGCTTCCCAAGACGGTCCAAACCATGGTGACTCGGAGTCAAGGCAAAATGCCTCTCCAAGAGGAGAAGAACATGCAAGTGATGGGACTTTTACCCTCACGGACCTTGTTGCGGCCATCCATGCTAGGGGTGGGCATTTAAACCGGAAAATCGAAGAACCGAGCCGAACCAAACTGGAAAAAATCGTGTTGACCAAAATTGGACTGAGTTAACCAAAAACCGAACTGCATTGGTTCAACCCGGTTCTAGTTCCGATTTGCTGTTTAAAAAACTGGATTAGACCAGACCGGACCGGTTATTTATTAAATGTATAATTTTTAAAAATTATTTAAATATACCATATTATGATTGGTTGGTGCACCGATTCTACATTCTTTATATAGAAAGGGCTGCACATAACCTCACCCCATTTATCTTTTAGTTGCTAACCCTAACTCAGATCTCTCCTCATCTCTTCTCCCCTTCATTATTTTCTCAGCCGCCCTTTCTCTATTCCCTCTTGTTGGCTGCGCAAATCTCACGGCCTGGTGCTCCGGGCCGAGGGGATATGCGTCAACACGTGACGTCCTTCTTTTGGGTGCGGTGCGGTTGTGCGCGGGCGTGCCAGCAACTTGGAATTGGTTTTGGTGCAATGGGTTGTTTTTGTTTCTGTGTAGGGAGAGCTTGTGCGTGCTTTAGGAGGTGCTGTAGCATCCACTTGACTACAAGGGAAAAAGCTCTTCTACGAAGAAAATTTTAGCGATGCACCATATTTTGGTCGCCAAAAAGGGCATTGGCGACGAAATTTTTTCAGTTAGTCGCCAAAAAGTTCGTGATTTTTAGACCCCCTTCATGACTGGAGTCAACTAAATAGCGACTAATTTATCAACTAAGGGCGACAAAAGGTTTTGGTGGTTAGGCGAGCACTTGGCAACCAAACATATATTTGGTCGCGATTTACTAAATTGGGTGCGCGCGAAACTCTAAAATTTTTGGCAACGAAAATATTGGGTCGCTAAGTTTTAATGTGTTGTCGCTAAGTTAGAATTGGCGCTTAAAAATTTCGTGGGGTCGGCGACCATTTGTTTTTCGTCGCAGATCATTGTGCTACAAAAATGTAAGCCGTAAAACGACGATGTTTTATTATGTTAGCATATGGGCGACCAAATAGTTGTTGGGGCTAATCTAGAGAGTATAAATAGAAAAATAAAAATAAAAAGTTCCCAACTCGTTATTTCCTCTCAGACTCACTCTCCGCTGCTCTCACATCGGCAAAGCAATCCTCCACCGACGTCAGCAAGCGATCCTCCATCGCGCACGCCTTTCCCTACCACGGTCAAGAAATGACGGCCATCTAAAAACTCCATCTCCGAAGTCCTCACTGCGTGTTTCAACGGAATGCTTCTGGTGAGTCTACCTTGTCTCGCTTACCTTTATTTTCTTTTGAGCGCTGATTTTCAGTTTCCATTTGGTTGCTGAGAAAATAATCAAGGAAAATCGGAAATAGATACCCAGGAATTTAAATCGAAACTGAATATCAGTGCTTGTTTTTTCCTTTTTTATATCTTAACTGCTTGAACATTCAACAGTCCAAGTTTTCTGAATACAATGACTTTTCTTTTTCAAGTGGTTATTGTGGGTTCTATGTCAAATTTGAGTAAAGTTTTGTGTCTGATATGAATGCCCTGTTTTGCATTTGATGTGGGTTCTGTGTCAAATTTGAGATGTTTCACTTGCACACGTACCCAGTAGTTAATTCATTTTTTTATGTTTTAATGCTTTGAGATTGATTATTTTCCAAGTCTTGAATGTTTGC